AACTAAAAAAAATTCGTTCGCACTCAACCTCGACGTCTGGTAGCATAGCCTATGAACCGGAGCAAGTACTACCGGTGGGCCTACGCCTTATGCGTTGCCCGACTACGTGGTGTTTATCGTTAAAATCGCCGCAAATATTGGCCGAACATATCCACCTGTTTGGCCCAACCAAGTAACTTCTTGATTTGGCACTTCGTAAGGCTGGCATCACAGGCTGATGGGCTTCATTGCTGGCCTTCAAAACTATGTTTTGGAAATCAGTAAAGAAAACGGCGAGTCGGTAGCTCTGTCTGCATCACTTGCTTGTAAAGAGCACAGCCGCCGTGCTTTCACGACTTTGAGGTTTCACTATGCGTACCCCTCGCTCTTGTTGCCTACGCTCATTTGCATAAACTTGCGGCGAGGTTTCCTGTTCGCAGAATTCCTCAGTTAGCCACTGTGATTTGTCCCCGTGTGCCACTGCAGCTAGCAAGACGATCACGCCTGCATTCTAAACCTTTTCCAGCGTGGGTGTTTTTTAATGTCATGCAGCCATCACATCTTGACCAGCGCGATCCACTTCTCTGCTCCGAAGATATCGATTACATATGTTTCACTGCGGAGAAAAGGCATTTTCAAAGACAAACTCAAAGCGCCGCATAAAACGCAAACGAAAGAGCATTCATCCGTGTTTCCACTTTCACTTGTTTCATTTCATTTCAGCTCAGGGAAATGCTTCTCATTGACCTAATCATTTACACTATGTACCAACCGTCACAAAACATTTACCGGCTCTTTTGCCATCATCTTCAGATAAAAACGGTTGCTTCAGCAGGTTTTAAATTCGGGCAGGAATGGAATACACTCGTAAAGTACTTCGCAAGGTAAATTAATGTTGAGCATATCATCCGCTGACTCCTCAGGTATCACGCTACAGCCGATCAGCAGAACCCGTTTAAGTAAATTGATTTCATATGGTGCCAACATTAAACCGTCAGCAGAAAATGATTATTTTGCATCTTCTGTTTAGCCTGCGACCTGTCTGATGCTGTTTCTGTTCTTGAACTTACAGGTGCAGACCTGATTTAATCAGTTTTATTCTAACATTTCTTTTTACAGACATTCAATTCTGGAAATCGAGAGAGTCCTTTGAAGGCCTATCCGTGCGCTCCGTCTTCTTCAATATCTTCTACTCGGCGGTCGTGGTGCTCTACGTCCTTGACAACGACACCAACTTTGTTGTAAAGGTGTCCGTCGTTATAGCGTTGGGTATCGAGATTTGGAAAGTCAAAAAAGTTGTCAGTATCGCGGTGAGTGTTATTAAGACGTGGATTAGTTTTCACATACTACAGTCTATACTACTTCAGTCGATCAGCCGGGAATGAACGTTGTTGTTATTACATGTTCGTTTCCTAGTCAGAATTAAACCGTTTCGTTCTCTGTCCTCACGCATGTATGCATAACATAGGTATTGACGCTGTTCGCATTTTTTATAACATCTATCATATAGTTGGTGCTAATGAGCGTGCCTTCAACTTCACACTTTTTAAAAGTCTAAAAATTCTGGTATTGCTATAGTTACCTTATTAAATTCGACGAAGCTTTCATTCAGAGCGCTGTTTTCTTAGAAAAGTCTGAGTAGGTTAACGTGCGTTTTTGGGTGTTACATTTGAGGCATTTAAGACAACCTGGCGTCAATTCACGCAGTTGAGCTAACACTTTCATCTGTCTATACACAGGTTGATCCGGAGAGGAAATTGTTGGGTTCTTTGCCCTATCCCAAACTGATTTGGCAGTCAAGTTACGTGGAATCGGACACGAAGGCTTACGATCAGGTATGTATACTTTTCTTAAAGTGAATTATCGAATACACTTTAGTTTCTACTTACTATATTTAAGTAACAGCGCCATATCATATAATTCCCGTTTCAGATGGCTTTCAAGTATCTTTCCTGGGTCCTCTTCCCATTATTAGCTGCTTATGCAGGCTACTCGCTCATCTATGAAGAACATCGAGGATGGTATTCCTGGGTTTTGTCCATGCTATATGGCTTCTTCTTGACTTTTGGTGAGTTCCGATGTTCATTCCAGATCCGCTACGGCATAAATATCGTCACAAATATATGCAAATTAATGATCGCAATAAAACTAGACTCCCAGATGGGCCTACTGACAGGCGTTCACTTGGATAATATCAGTATTAAATACTCGATAGGAGCCCATCTTGTGTCTATCAATACATACCG